TAAAAAAAAACATTTCACAGCCAATCAGCATTAAAGAGGAAGTAGCCCAAGTCGCGTTCACGTCCCACCACCGAGTCCGTATTCTGTAAATGAAGAGCAGTCGAGCAGATACTAAATTGAACCTGCACCACCTCCTGATTTTATCTTCATGTCCGGTACACGAGGAGTGTTGCCCGCTCTGTGTGTACACACAATTCACAACACCCGGTTCCAGTAACAAACCTGTTGTAAAAAAAAAAAACAGTGTTAACGTGTGGACGATCATCGCTGTTCATTTTTTACCACTCTGGCGGCCGTCCCTGAACTCAGCAAATCAGCGCCGCCTGGTGAATCGCAAACAAACGAGATGAGTCGAGTTCTGTGAGTTTCTCTGAGTTTCCAGGAGCTTCAGCTTCTCTCGGCTCATCAACACGCAGCCTCCCGCGGGTCCCACAAACAGGTAAGAGTCTCTTTGTTCCATGTTTCTCCTGCGACGTCGACCTCGGAAGCGATTCCTCGACTCCCATCGGCAGTTTACGCCGCTAGCACCGATGCTAACCGCTGTTAGCTCCCCAGTGGACCCACAGTGGTGTGCGTCAGGAGGAGGCAGCGGCTGCTTCGTGAACATGAACATGTTTAATGTTGGAGGATGAGGAACAGCAGGGATCAGTAACGTTGCCGTGTTCACCGTTGAACCCTGAGAACCTGCTCTCTGTCGTGTGAGGCATCAGCTTTGTGATCATTGAGGCTGAGCACTGGTCACGAGGGTTCACTTCACATTTACACACACGTGTCGTAAAATCCTCGTTGTTTTCTTCATGTGCACAAGTTACTTTGTGTTTGCATGAGTTTTTTCTTATTTTGCAGTGTGCATGAAATCACTTATCTAACAAGATCAAATCCTGAGGGAGATCCTAAATGCAAAAAAAAAGATCCAATCTCTCGTGACAGGGTTTTATTACATGTTTATTTCCGTGTAAATATTCATTCATCAGTGTGAAAGTTATTCTTGTGAGGTTTACTGAGCAAACACAAACTCAACCTGTACTTTAGGGCTTGTCACCGATCGTTGTTGTTTCTCACAACAGTAACAGTGGATCTTTTGTGTGCAGGTCAGGAGGGTGTGTATGTATTACAAATACTAAATGTATTTATATACGTAAATACGATTTTAAGGTCTTCCATGTAAAGTGCCTTGAGATAATGTATATTATGATTTGGCACTTTAAAAAAAAAAATTGAATTGAATATGTGAAATCATCCCAATAAACAATTAACAATAAGATTAGATTAATACATTAGATGTGCACTATTTTCCTGTTAAATGAAGTGAAATTAATCCCTTCTGTACTTTTTGTCTCCCTGTTTAATTTGAATGCAGAGTTGAGCCATGGCCAATATTCAGATCCGCAAATATCGAGAGGATGATGCCGAGGCAGTGAAGGAGATCTTCACCATGGGGATGAGCGAGCACGTTCCTTCGTCCTTCATGCACTTATTGAAACAGCCGATCACCCAGATGGTGCTCATGATCGTCTTCTGCGCTCTCATGACCAGCTCCAAGTCCTTCCTTCTACCCATCCTGGCTGTCACCCTGTGCCTAGCCGGGGCCCGGCAGTTCGTCGTCCACGTGTTCAACAAATACATCGACACCTCCCTCAAGAAGGACCTCAACAGCATCAGTGAGACCTACCTGAATCAGAAGGACTCCAATTTTTGGGTGGCTGAAAGTGATGGCCAGGTGGTCGCTACAGTGGCTTGCCTCCCTGCCGTGGAGGCACCTGGGTGCTTGGAGCTGAAACGCATGTCTGTGTGCCGCAGTCACCGCAGGTTGGGCATCGCCAAGGCTCTGTGTCAGACAACGGCTGATTTCACTCGGGAGAGGGGTTATGCAGCTGTCATTCTGTACACCTCTCTGGTGCAGACAGATGCTCAGAAGCTATACGAGGACATGGGCTTCGAGAAGATCAGAGAGTTTGCTGTTCCTGAATTTCCTGCAAAAATCCTGAACTTCACTTTGCTCGAGTACAGACTGGACTTACAGAAAGACCGGAAAAGAGACTGACTCTAGCAGAAAGACGATTTCAGGTCCACTGCACCATTCGTTTACCCAGTTTCATCAGTGTGCTAATGTTTTCCACACATTGCACAACTGAACACTTGGGACTGAATCAACAAATCATTGTTTTCGAAACCAGTTTTGAAAATTGTCAGTTACTTGTAATACAGAGGAAACTGCTTATAGTGATCATGTTTATTCCAGCCCCTTGCTCTCTCTCTAAATTATTACTAACAACTAATACTTTTCTTAAATGAGTAAAATCTTTGTAGCTACATTAATTCACCCATCCATTTAAACGGTTGATCACTATAAGACCTGCTATGCCCATAGTCATGCTGTCGAGGGTTTCTTTTGATTGAGCCTCTGTTAATTAATTTTGTAAATTATTTAATTCTTTTCTACAGGAAACTCAATTAAATATATCTCAAGTTGCTCCTTTAATTGTGTAACATTCCTTATGTTATGTGGAGTCAAATTAAAGATGCACTGATCTGTTTATCATCCCTGATACTGATCTTATAACAGGGGGAACCCCAGATTTTACATGTCGAAGTCTGTTTAAAACACATGTATTAATTGTTTTCTAGTCTTCAGAGGGAGCTGTGTGAAGTCTAATAAATGTCCTCGAACCTCTTCTTTTTCTGTGTCTGCCTCAGACTTGCAGCTCGATTGAAACTCTCTGGTTCTGCCGCATGGATTCAATACTGACTCATTGATACTGACTGATCCACAATAAACATTATTTTCTTAATGCACTTTTTCTTGAAGATGTTTGACCTGCAATTTTGACTTAAAAAATATTGGATATTATTAGAGTAGTCAACTTACTAATCAAAGCTGTTGCAGCTCCTGTTGACACTAATAACTCTGAGATAAATGAGTTGTACGTATGACTTCATGACTACTATCCTATCCATGTGATTTAAAAAAAAAAGTTTCCAGATATAGCATGAATGTATGTATTACCCACCGGACATATTAAAACATGTACTTCATCTTTTCATCTAAAAATATAAACACTTCTTCACTTCCTCTTTCCAAAAGTGTGTCTGCCAGAGTCTGGCACTTGTTCAACCAGTAATGGAAGAAGAACAAGGCCCAGGGGATGGCTGTGGTCTCAGGCTGAAACATCCTGACACATGTTGGGCTTTCGCTAACAAAACATGAACATGTGTGTTCCAGACTGATACTGAACAGCTGAAGACCTCAGGTTGTTTCTCCCCCCCCCATCACAGAAAGGATAAATATCAAAACTGTGGTTTAAATAAGAATACAAAAACATTTCAGCTTTAACTTTATTGAGGGAGTTTTGAAAAGGTGGAACACAGAATTCAATCACTTCAGGATGAAATGTAAAAAAGCAGAAATCATTTAGCTGTGAAGGTAAATTAGACAGAGATCAACTTTAATTAACAACACTCAGATCTTGTCTTTTTATTTTTATGATGATTATTTATTTCTAACATTTAAAAACTGAATTCACCTTTTAGCTCTTTCAAGCTGAAAGTGTTTCTTGCTGTAAAAGAGAAATATAGAAATATAGTAATATAATATATTAACTTTTTTATTCAATTACCTTTTATAATATGAAATCCCATAGATCATATTATACAGAATAAATAATAGATAATCCAGATACCAGTCCGCACACAGTTATGTGTCTGTATTTAAACCTTGTTCCGCTGACCGGGGGTTCAGCGGCCTCCTCCGGATCCGTGTGGCGGGCTGGGTCAGGCAGCAGCTCGGACACCTCGGCTCGGATGTGTCCGGTCAGACCTCCACGGATGGATGTAGCCCGTCGGGGACGGAGCTGAGCGACTAGCCGGATTTAAGGACTCAAAACAGGTCAGATGAAGCTCTTATTTCTCCTCGGCATCGCCGGAGATGCAGTGTGAACACGTGGACACCCCCGGGCTGTGATATAAACGCGTGTGTGTCGGTTTTAAAATAAATTTGTTTTTTTTAAAATAAAAATATTGAAGCGAAGCTAACGGCTAATGCTGCTAGCAGCTAGCCAGGGAGTGTCCCTGTGACAGCGGCACACACGAGTGATGGTTTTAAAACCTGTTAAATGTGATAAATATCATTAAACACAGGTTAATGCGACCAATGCTGGAGTCAGGACGGGTTCTGATAGACACCGAGGTCTGGTTGTTGGTTAAAATGTCAACGTGGATCCGGATATTTAGTCCTAACAGCAATGATTGGTCTCATTTCAATTAATGAATCTCAACAAGATCCACGTTGTTTTCCCTCATTTGAATCCAATTAGTTTCATTTGTTGGGAGAGAATCTGTCGTCAGCCTGCAGCCACACCCGTGCTGATGACCCCACTGCACAGAACACGTGGAAATGACATAAAGCTCCATTACTGTTGAATTAAATCACATGGAAGTGGTCAGGGGGAGAGCACAGTGTGTTTTGGAGCTCTGGTCTTTGGCCCTGAACACACTAGATGGCACCAAATTACTAATTTACCTTCACTCTCATGCGTTTGCAGCTGTAGATATAATTCAGTTAATGCTGGAAGCTTGTTGTTTTAGTGTGTGTGTGCAGTGTAAACATTGCCACACCTTGTCATTGTGTTTAAAAAGTGTTTCCTCTTATCTAACGATGAACACATTGTGATTTTGTTCAGCTGCTCCACCCCTGTCCGTCCTGGGGAGAGGGATCCCTCACACGTGACTCTCTGAGGAAAATCAGATTGATTGATAATGTAAGTTTGATGCACTTTGAAATGAGCTGCTGGAATGAACAGACTCTGACCCTGTTCTCTACGGATGACCCAATTTTTCCTAGCGATGGGACCAGGCCTGAATATCATCATGTAGTGAGAGTACAGCGAGGCAGTGCACATCCACTGTTCTGAATAGATGCGGAATTAAAGTAGCTCTGATATCAATTGATCAAATGTTTCTTGACAGTGTCAAATATAATCAAAACGTCCGTCACAGTTTTCCACACCCCCGGGTTATTTCTTCCAATAGCTTTTTTCTCTACATACATTTTCAATCCTAATGAACCTGATATTTATATTTGATAGATATCAAACAGAAATTCAACCAGTTCAGTGACGCAAAGACTTACATTGCCATTGATTATCAATCTATAACATGTATTTCAGCTCTCTTGTATAAGAAGAGAATAATGGAGGTTACATCGATATTTGCAGCAAAAGTAAAGACGATTATGTCTGGGGGCTTTAAAATGGATTAAATGAACTTGATGCACTATGTCAGGAATCAATAGTTGAAGTCATTTATCAGATAAAAACACAACAATTTGCTCTGTTATTGCCTCATATTAGTGAAGAGTCCACTCATGTTTTCAGCTTAATACCCCATACACTGATTAATTAGGTTTTCTGGCTATGAGGCAGATAAGTAAAGAATTAAAAGGCCATTACCTTTGATATAAGAAATTAGCAAAATTACTTATTACATTTAAAGTAGGATAACGATTAAACCGGTCTGTTAATTGTTATTCACAGCTAAATCAAGCTTATTTACTTTAATGACGTCTTAATCAGTTGTGACACAGCAGATTTGATTGTAGCCTTCTATAAAAACTTAGCTCATATTTCTCCTAATTTAAGTCAAATCATGTTTACCTTGTTTAGCGATGTCCATGAGTTGGTCCTGGACTCGCAGGCTGACTGAAGTCCTTTCGTCCTTTAAAATCCCAGTGTCACCTCAGTCCCTGCAACCTTTGTGTTCACCGGTGTGAACTGGCTCACAGCAGCAGACGTACGGCTGAGCTGTCTCTGTCGTTGTCCTGTTCCCGCATAAGGAGGAGGCAGTTCTTTTGAAAGTGGCTCAGGGCGAGTCGTCTCTTCATTATTTTTTCGGTGTGAGATAAGGGCTCCCCTTCTTTCCGTCCTCCCACACGTCCCCAGCGCCCCCTCTTTTGGTTCTGCCTTTGTCATTAGCATAAAAGGGTGCAAAGAGACTGCAGAGGTTTATTGTTAAACATCTCCAGCTGCGTGTAACTGTAATGCGTATTTAAGTATTTTACATTATATGCAATTTCAGGAGTTTAATGACAACAAATATATGACCTAAAAATAATAAAAATATGTACTAGTATGTGTAGGACAGTACTGAGCCAACAATACATTTTGTTTTACTGGTTCAAGCTTCATGAGTGACGTATTATGAGCTTTGGGAAATTTCTCCCCCTTTCTGAGAGCTGAGTTTCTTTTGTTCTGCTGCTGAAATGCGCACTCTTGTACCATCTCCCATCAGCCTCTAAGCTTTAAGCTTTTACACACAAACCCTGCAGCCTTCTGCCTCTATTGCAAAAAGATGACAACACAGAAAAAGAGAGGAGTGAGAGTTAAAAAAGCCCCAGCCACGCAGTTAGCTGATAAAAGAGAGTTAATCCTCGCTGTGTGATGGGCCAAAGCATCAGACTGGGCTCTAATGCAATCTGCTGGCTTTTTGCTTACACTGTGCTGCATTACAGAGCATCACCTGGGCCTTTTGTGTCCAACCACAATGAAACGGCATCAGATTTAGTTGAACTGGTTCAGGGTCCCAAATGAAAACCTGGCTGCTGTGTTTTTGCATTTTTAATTTCTACACTAGATGTATGTTTTCCCCTCGTGCTCAGACTATTATTAGAAGAAACAGATTGAGGACTGCAGTGCAGGCGGTGCAGAGTTCTCTCTTACAGTATTTCTTTGCTCTATTGATTTTGTTGACAGATCATTCTTCGTGTTTCTTACATCATTTTTTCTCATCACGACACATATATGACTCTTTTTTCATACCGGCCGTAGCCGCCCTGAATATCAGTCTAAAGCCTCTGGATCAAACTAGTGTAACATTCATGAGACTGTCAAGTTTATTTTGAGATGCTTTTGGAGGTGAGCATGTGCCGGCTCTAGGACCCAGCACCTCTGTCTGGGCCTAAACCTCCCTCCCTCCTGCAGAAGCCAGGGCAGACAGCAGCGCAGTGCTACGACTCAGATGATGCACTCAGAGCAGACCTGGCTGTTTTTTCCTCCTCTCTGCTCCACTGTTTCCCTCTGGTCCATTCATCGGAGGGGTGGATCGCACTGTCCGCCCGCCAGAAACTTCCTGACAGAGGCACAAGCTGCTGTCGGCTTTTCCCTGTGAGGAGAGAAGAGGCACGGAGAGTTTTTAGAGCAGTCGGGCTGTTCTGTGAGGATCAGGAGAGGGATGGTGTGATTCTTTAAATAGAGAAAGGGAGAGAAGGAGGGAGACGCTCCGGTAGCATCCCTGAACCCCCCCTCCAGTCCTTTCCTCGACCCCCTCCTCTGTCTGGCTCACCCCAATAACACGGTCCTTCAGTCAAGACAGGGGGTTTGTTGAGGGGTTCGGCGACCAGGAAACATGTCACAGACTAGGAGGAGCACATACACTCGGGTGAGTGTGCACAAGGTGTTGATGAATCCTGGTGAAGTGAATGAATGGGCCGGACTGTGGTGCTGAAGTTAGTCCTGATTGGTGCGCCATTGTTTCTGTTATGTCTGTTCGATTTGCTTCACTCATGTCAATGTCCACTTTGAATAGAAGGGTTTCGAATCCATTTCAGAGCTGCGTTTCTCCGTCTGAGTTGTCGCCTCTTTGTTCGCCTCACGTGCCCCTCCGGGTTCAACACCGCTGCTGTGACGTTGGGGTTCAGACCCCTGTGATGACTCGACTCGAAATGATAACGTGACAGGCAGGTGATGGGTCCGTCAGGGTTTTTGTTATCGGCAGACACTGGACACGAGCCACAGAAGACTTCCTGTTGGTCATTCGTCTCTGAGTCAGGCAGCTTCCTTGTCACCGGGAGGGATGACATCAGTGTTTCCTACTCTTCACAGAAAGCTCCTCAGTTATCATAAATACTCCTCAGACTGCATACTGTGTGAATTAGCCTGAGTAACACGATGACAACATTTCTGTTTACAAGAAAACAAAGTAAGACCGTGAGCAGGCTGCCAGGTTTTATCAGAGCATAGTACAGTGCAGCAGATGAGGCTACTTCTTTTATTTTTATTCTCATTTAAGTGTCATGGTCGGTGTGAGCTTGCGTGTGTTGTAAGAGTAGAGTGGCACTAAATAATTCAGCACGCCCCTCTCGGGTCGGCTCCAGCACATGGCGAACAGGTCGGAGCTCAAAGCGAGGAACACGTTCAAGGCACTTCATTATTTTGTCACTTTAAAGCCGACAGTTATTATAAAACACAATGGATGTTTGAGTTCGTATTGGGGACAGGTGCGTTCAACTCAGCAACATAAACCACGGAATCCTCTCTCTTCTGAATCCGAAGCGATTTCATTTTTTAAATATGACAAAGCTTGAATTAAAGATGTGATTGTGATGTGCAAAGACTCGAGGATGCACATAACCAATTCAATATCCCTGTCAGTGTTGCTTATGAATAATAAGGTAGGTTGATTAGACTTGAAGTAATTATGGGAATTGGGGATTTTCAGTAACTTCTTAACATGGATTTGAATAAAAGACCCATGTTTAAATGTTTAGATTTCTTATGAGCAGACAGAAAGTGGAGATGAACGGTAATTGCCCTACAAAATGTCACATATTGAAGATGTTATATCAGAGAAATAAAGTTATATCATGCTTAATGTTCAGACTGAGCTAACAACCAATTAGTTTCTCTTAGTATCTACCTTCCTGTATTTCAGCTGAGAATGTTTTTCTCTATGCACAGCTTCTTTAAGTCCATTGTTCGGTGTCTGTGGTTGAGAAATGTAAATGGTAAATAATGCCTGTTAAGAACTGACATCATCTTTGAGCTTATGTTTGAAGATTTAACAGAAACCATGGTTTTAAAAACTGTTAAGGTTCTTTAAGTGGTTTTACAGAGGTCATAATGTCACTGAAAACAAAACACTCTTTATATTATCACATTCCAAAGTATACTTTACATCGATTTATGCCTTTACCTCGGGCGGTATTGATGGTTGAGAGTTAAATTTGATTAAACCAGATATTACATTTTACGTTCCCCTCCAGACGGACATCTTCCTCCTCTAAAAGACATATGTATGTTTCTTTTATGAGTTCCAGCCAAATCAAATATCTTTGAATTGCTCAGGCTTTTAAAACCCTCGACCAGAGCTGCAGTGATTATTCAATGTATTCGTTGTTTGATGTGACTTTGATCGTGAAATATTTTGATGTTCAAACAAGTAATTTTTCTGTCTGATGCTTAATCAGATTATCAACTGAATATGTTTTGAGGTCTCAGGGAGTAAAACAGGCAAACAGAATTTATTCGGATCTGGGGTGTTAAATCAATTACTATCCACATTTTACAAAGTAGTTGATTGGTTGAAAAAGTCAATAGCAGATTTGTCGACATTGAAAATAATTGTTCTACTCTAAACCATCAATACAGGAATTCACAGGATCTTGTTATTCATATGAAAACAAATAGATATGAGGATTAATGGTAAGATCTTTGTTTGAGTATCTAACAGTATTTTATTGATTGCCCCACTTACCTTTGGAACATACCCCCCCCCAATCATACTGGTACCTCTAATGAAAAAAGTTAGTTTATCGTTCTCAGTCATTGTATGTATTGATTTAAAAGTTCTGTTTGCAAGTTGCCAATAGATTTAGTAGTTTTAGACGTTGAATTGATTGGATCATGTGAGGACAGAAACCAGCAGCGGAGGCAACAGATTTGTTTGAACACTTCATAAACGTCTTTCTGCTGCTGCTGTCTGTGTTGCTGCACTTTTCTTTTAAGGTGTCTGTTATTTAACCTTTATGTTTAACAGCAGCACACACACGGTGTGTGTTTACAGTGAGCTCAAGGAGACTCAGTGTAAAAGCATCTGCTCCCCTCTGTCCTGTTCTGCTGAGTCACCACCCGGTCCAGGACTTCACACTGTAAATTGGGTAACACTGGATTATTTCATCACAAACTGCTGCAGCTGGAGTAAGTCTGCTCCTGTAGAAACATCTCACTGCTCAGTTTGTTCCGCACACATCAGAATTGCGTTATGAGGTCTCAGGGTTTTGTTGCCATGGAATCATCTCAGAAACTTTAGCTGCAGGCAGTCGTCCTGCAGAAGCGTGCATTGACATTTAGAGAGCGCAGAATCAGGACGAGGCCTTGCTTTTACTTTTTGTTGTGTCCTGCACACTTCACTGAGTCTGAATGACACCGAAACTACTTTTTGTCCTATCACTTCCCTCAGCAGCTGGTCGCCGTGCACCTTACTGACATGGTCCGATAAAAGCGTCTTTCATTGCAAACGTCCGCTGAACACTAACGGTATCATGTGATGCTTTGTGCTGTATAATATTACTGTATCATATTCTGTGCTGTAGCTCAGTCTCTGACTGTCCTGCAGAGAAACGAGTGTTTGCTTCTCCGTATCAAGTGTTTATGTAATTAACCTTATTGGACGTGATTGTTCCAGAGACAGTTTTTGGAAACTTTAAGCTTGAGATGTTATGATACTGAAACTCCTCTGATATGGCTGGAAATTTATTTTTCTTGCAAATCAAACGATTACTGTTTTTAGAGCGGTTAAGAAATGATCTCTGGTTGTGTTTGGCCATATTATAAATGTCCCCCCCCCCCCCCTCTCTTGTCCCACCTAGACTACGAGCAGCGGCAGCAGCAGGATGAGCTCGGACGGGGGCGGGCGGCCCGTCAAAGTGGGCTCCCTGGTGGAGGTGATCGGGAAGGGGCAGCGCGGCACGGTGGCGTACATCGGCAACACGCTCTTCGCCTCCGGGAAATGGGTGGGAGTCATCCTGGATGAGGGCAAGGGCAAGAATGATGGCACGGTGCAGGGCAAACGCTACTTCACCTGTGAGGAGAATCATGGGATCTTTGTGAGACAGTCACAGGTAACTGCAGAGATATTTTATTAAATGGAGAGATACTTGATGTCTGATGAACACATGTACCTGAAGTCAGTCAGTATCTGTTGTGTTTGACAGCTCAGGGAGGAATCCATTTTTAGCTGTATCATGAGTTTCAGAAGAAGGGCCAAATAAAGATTTGATCTGTTATGTTTTTGCAAATCACAATATGTCACATTTCCTTCCCCTTCAAGTGCCAGAAACTTCAATCAGGTGCTTTCATCTCCACCTTCGAGCCCTCGAGTCCACCTGCATTTCTCTGTTGTTTTAGTTCTTGTAATATTTTCTTTTGAGGTTGTGTGATATTATATTTGACACAGTGGGTTGTGTGGGGGTTGATATTTCCCGCTCCTGTCTGCATGGTATCAGCATTTTCCACTGCTGCGGGCTAATTGGTTCTGTTTTGATCAAAACAACTCTGTTTTCTCCTGCAAAACACGCTGCACAGAGTCCCTGCATTCTACAGAACCTTAAATTCCACTGGAACAGATATAACTTTGTCAAATTCTCTGCTTATTTAAATTTTATTGGCACGTCATGGACTTTCAGACAAATGTTTGTATCTCAGAACTTCAATCGCTCTGATTGTGGTAAATTCTGATTGTTTGAAAGAGCAGAAAATACATTTTAGAGTGAAGCTCTTCATTTGTTATTACAGTAAACACACATTAATGCTCCTGTAAGCCAGCTAATGACATGCGTACACTGGCACTCAAGGGTTAGCTCCAGTATTGATTAGGTATTACAATACTAATCCCCTTCATTATGTCTCCCACTTGTCTTAAGAGCGTTTGCCCCCGACTGTCTCTGCGGTGCACTTGTGCAGGTTGCCATGGAGACAAGGGAAGATTTCGACTCACTTGGCGAGTTCTGCTTTTCAACGAACATCATCTAACGAGCCAATTTAGTTTTTCTGTCGCTCCTCTTTTAACATCTCGCCAACTCTGCTGATGAATAATATTGTTGGCAGCGAAAGCCTCCGATGTTTTGAAAGACGTCTAAATCTGTGTCGCTGTCTGTATCTGTCGCTCTGTCCCAGATCCAGCTGGTTGACGATGGAGCGGATACCACGTCCCCAGAGACACCGGAGCCCGGCACCGGAAAAGTTCCCAAGCGAGGTACGGACACGGACACACGTAGCATTAGGATGGTTTTATGGTTTCATCCTTGGTCATCACTCAGGTGTAGTTTTCAGTATTCTGTAGGTGTTCACACAGTGAGACGTTTCTAAATCAGTGACCTTGCAGAAATACAGCTTTCTTCAGGGACGCCGTCTTGTTCAGAGAATTAAACATTCAGTGGTTTTGAAAAGCAAAGAACATTTGCTGTATTTTGAAATAGTATCAACTGAGTGATGTGGAAAAGGTCTGTAAACAAACATATCTGTGCCTGCATCTGTGCACAGATATAAAGCAGATGATGCTCACACTCAGGTTGATGATTTTAATTTCTGTTATCAATTGAAAAGTTTCACGAACTTTAAAGTTCAGGAAACACCTCACGCATGGCTCCTGCCTCTTTAAGGCCCCTCCTCTGCTCTGTTGTGATTGGTCGACTGCCTCTAGCACATGAAGGGAGTATCACCTCTCCTCTTCCTTTACCTGGCTTTGTTAGCTGGCCATGCATTATGCAAATGTCGGGCACTGTGATGTCACATGATATCCTGATGCCCTGGAAGTCAAGTCCGGACAACTGATGAGGTGTTTTAGCAGCTTCGGTGTTTCCTGTGGGGGAGAGGAGCTGCCCTTTTATTAGATTTTGAGATTTTCAACTTTGCAGAACTGCTACATTCACAAAAAACACAACTGTAGAACTGAAAACTATAGAAGACACCGGAAGAAAGAAACACTAAAAGCATAATATCCTAATTTTCGAGAAATTATTTTATCTACTCATTACTTTGGTTTCATAAAACAGCACAAGATGCAGGTTTCTCTCTCCCTGACATTTATATGAAAGTGACCAAGATGCTTAATATATCCCCAACACAACGTTCCTCCAGTTTCATCTGCAGGGACACAGTGGACACAAATTAATGAAGAGCAGGATAAGCGCTCATTCAGTGGTTTTCCACAGTTCAGTCAGAGCTGTATCCGTGTTGACCATCTGGAGAAAAGACAATAAATCATGTCTGACTTCGCCTGCACCCGGATCCTAGTGGGACTTTGCACCTTTTTGTAAAGGATGATAAACACAGACTGTGATACAATAATTTCTCTATTTATCTCCTCAGAGATCCTGGAGACGCCCAAGTCCACCAAACTGGTGAGTCAGATAACGCTGCAATGTAGCACAATGTTTCCTCTGCAGGGAAACCTGGAGCAGAGATGCCAGCAGACACCTACACACACGCATATTACTTGTATTTCCATCTTTGTGAGGGGGCTCTTTGATAAAATTCATTCCGCAGCCCCTTACCCAAACCTCAACCCTCACTTCTAAAAGCCTCATGCCAACGTTCACCTAAACCTTCCTCTAACCACAGCCATGTTTTAACCTTCACGCAGCCCTTTAAAGTGCTCACTCTCCAGAAATGTCCTCGCTTTTGTAAAAGTAAAAAGTCCTCACAAGTACACAAGTATACAAGTACACAAGTATACAAGTATACAAGTACACGCACATGTGATCTACACGTATACACGTTTGCGTAATGTGACTCGGAATACTCCATGTTTGAATACTAATATTGAATATTGTGAGTTTGACCTTATTCAAGTTAAGATAATCAGAACATGCTATTGTTGATTTAATCCGGTTACTGTTGGAATATTGGTGTCCGTGTGAATGTCGACACTGTCAGACATGTGACTTTCCGCACACACACACACACACACACACACACACACACACACACACACACACACACACACACACACACATCTAAGGAAAAGATAACGCAGTGTGTGCCTGTTGACTATTGGAGGATAATACAAAGTACCACACCTGCTCTGCTGTTTCAATCTGATTTAACACCTCATTCGTTTCTGACTTCCTCCTGTCAGTAGCAGCTGTGTGATGTCATGCTTTATGATCTAAAAGTATATTTGAATACATTTTTAGTATATTTATCATTAAATACTTGTTTTTTTGTTATTTGTTGTCGGACACGGATCTGGTACGAGACAATGTACGGCTTAGAAGAAGTCATTTACAGTACAAACTGGTAATAAACATATACCTAAATATTCCTTCTCTTCTTCTTAGACATCAAGGTGCATTACTGCCATCTACTGTATCTCTTATTACCCAATGTGACAAATACTATGAAGTTAGTTTAAAGTATCGGAACAAAGATTTTAAACCATAACACACAACTTTATAAAAACACATTTTCTTAAAATATCCTTAAATTAGTTTGTTTCCCAGTGAGCTACAGGTTCTGTTCTCTCATCTGACCAGAAGAGGGCAGTGTTTACACATACATGACTTCTAGCTGCACATTATTTATTAAGTGACAGAATGAAAAACTTTGTAAGTGTAAATTTAAATTATGGTGATGTGACCTAATTTGTGGCTCCAAAATACCCGTCAGCTTTATAATTACTCACTGAGGTGCTCGTTAATTCAGGTCATCTGCTGGATTCCTCTGTGATATTTCTCTTTGGCTCCAGGGTCTGTAACCACAATAGATTCTTTCTTTAGTATTAAAACTTTAGTATTTAGTAACACAGTCCCAGCACGAGGGATCAGGGAAGAGGAGGTACACACAATTTTTATGAAGTTGTTAATTGTTATTATATTTTCGTTTCATGGGTGTAAACGTGACATTATATTTCTTTATTACTTAAATTCTTTGACAAAATTCTTTAAAAGAAAAATGATGCTGAGTCACAGCATTTAAAAAAAGAGTCGTCATTGACTCCAGAGGTTAAGTGATTTTTTTCTATTGATAAATACATATAACATTTGCATTATTTGAAAAATGGTAATTTACAATATTCCGCCCCCCCTGACTTTGATCACATCCAGTCCGGTCTTGTTGGATTCGACCTTTAATGTCACCGTGTTCACCGTGAGACGACTGACATTTGCTGGATGTTTCCACAGAACCATCAGTTCACCCTCACGTAGTAACCTACAGCCTTTTGTTCTTTCATTTTCTTTGATTTAACCGAGTCACTGAGACTCGTCAAGAGACAAATGGAGAAAGAGACCTGGGGAAAAGGACAAGTTCACTTTTAGAAAAGATTTAGTAATATATTCTAAATCGTATATTAATATTTAATATCACTCAGTGGAACTCATATTTCCACAAATGCCCATTCCAATGCCCAATGGGCAGATTAAATATTAATACAAGATTTAGAAAATATTACTAAATCTTTTCTAAAAGTGAACTTGTCCTTTTCCCCCAAAAAAATCACTAGATCAGATTCTTATTTACCAAATTGCAAACTTATGGAATCAGTCCCCTGAATATGTCAGATTTGTTTTCATCAAGATCCATGAATTATTCGGAGGAAACTGGTGAAATGGTTTTTAAAAAACACCTCCCACAATGTAATGGATTCTTTCTTGGACCCATTCCGAGGTTTGTCGAAATCCGTTCAGTATTTTTTGTGTGATCCCGCTGAACAAACTGTTTTGAGTATTTTAGAGGTAAAGGTATGAGTGTTACTGATATAAAGATGGTGATGCTGTGAGAACATCAGCAGAATCTTTGTGTGATTTAAAAAAAAAATATATATATTTGTCACGTTTTCAAAGGATTTCACTTGTTTGTAGTTTGTGTGAAAACGAGCTGAATGTAGAATGTGAGTGAGTCAGAGAAGTGTTATGTCAAAATATACTGTTCTGTATATTTGACTGGGATATGAGGCCCAACAGCGGAGAGCCCCGACCCACCACAATCCCCATCACCCGCCGCATGTCACTGTCAAACTGGACCTTTAACCCTCACCCTCCCTCCTTCCCTTCTCTCCTTCCCTTCTCTCCTTCCCTCCGATCACGCAGCGAGGAGTGAAGCCCAAAAAGGTGTTGCATGTTTCTCTAACCTCGGTACAGTTGTAATGTTATGATGATGACTGTCGTCACCGTGGCTCTGAATGGCCTCTGTGCTGCATGGCAACAAGGCCTCACCCCTCATTTACCCATGATTCCTGGCAGCCCACCACACCTTCATCCTTGGTCTCGTCACCATAACTGCTCTGTGTTCATGTGAATGGACCCTGATGGAGGGAAAGGTGATGCCCGTGTTGTCCGTAACGTCACGTCCACTTGACCTCTGTCACCTGCTCTGCTCTGGTTCAGCTCTCATGATGTTTGTTGTGTCTCCTCGATGTCCGTCTGCTTTCTGTGCATTTTAAAGCATGTCGCCGTCGCAGTGAAATGGAAAAAATGGCTTTGTCGCCACGGCTGCCGAATTCCCTGTGTCATACAGACGCAGGTTTGATTTACATGAACCGGATTATCGCCACATTATATTTGTATTCTCATGGAAAACTGTAGTTTTAGTGGTTTTACACTAGGATTTTATTTTTTGTACCTCAGTTGTGTTCAAGCTGCTGCTCTTTGTGGCCATATCTCACTTTTGATCACGTCTTGTTTTAAGACGCCATGAAAATGTAATGTCCTAGTGACTCGTGCCACGTGAGGATTCATCACAATGTCCACACTGAGAGTCCGGTGCTCTTTACCAGTCTTCCTCTGCCGACTCAACACATACAGACGTTCCTCTGCCGCACTGTAGAGAATGTCAGATGGTGACGGAGGTGAAAGGAGCTCCTCCCGCCTGCAGAGATCAAACCTGCAGAGTATAGATTCCCTGTCAGCTCGGTTCTACTTTATCGTCTCCTGTTCTGCACACACGCTCTGCAGGATGACTTTTAACATTTAGCTTTCAGCTCAGTTCGGTCGTGGTCTCCAGATATAAACAAGGTTTCATAATGCTCAAGACTGTAGAAGAATAAACTCTCCTCTTAAATTGAGTATCTCACCATGAAAGCACATTGTCCGTCAAGGCCCAACAGACAAATGGACAAACGTATTAATATAGCTGGAGATGATGACAAGCCTTTTTTCGGTGCTGACAGAAAATCTGGCTATGAAATATATTTTTCCTGATATTTTTCTGCCCGTTATGAAGTTAATGTGTCTGAAACTGATCTTACACTTAAATATTAAGTCTTCCTCAAGTTTTCTGTGAAATAACGACACGAACTGAAGCTGAGCGTGTTGGGTTCTGCTGCGTTTTGCTCCCTGCGCCGTCACTTTATCCCTTTTTGTCCAGTGTGAAGCTGCAGTGACCTTAGAGACCGTGATCCTCCCTGTGTGTGCTGGGAAAGCAGAAACGTGATACAACTCCACCCGTCCCATCATCCTCTCTGTCTGCCTGTCTCTCTCTCAGCCATGACTCTGTGTAGTGGAAGAAAGTGGGGATTACAGAGGGTGATTAATATTTTAACAGGACAGATTTCCCTGCGGCTGCTGTGTAATGGATACACAAACCGTTTTTCTCTCTGGTTCAGCAGCCTGACGTCCTGTCACTTTTATTTTCCTCACAATAAACCCCAGACTTTGATTTTAATATGATCAGTTTTTTAATACTGTATTTCATATCCTCTAGAAACTGTACACCGCCTGTGTGTGTTTACTACAGCCGCACTGAGTTTCATCTCAAATGACTTCTGCCCATTTTCATGGTTATGACGTAAACGTATTTTGGGTTTAAAGCTCATAGCTAATCAGAGCATCCTCACTGAATTAATCCTCTTATATCCCTCGCTCTTCCTGCTGAGCCGTTGGTGTAGAGAAGGAGATTAGTGGAGCTGAGGAAGATATTACGATAGCTACTCAAATGCTCCAGGCTGTTTAGGAATGTATTCACCCATTAAATCACTTTATTACAGAAGAAACCTCTTAAAACTCGTCGTACTACGATCGGTGTTACTCCTTAATCGAGATTTTTAACCAGACTGGAAAGTAATTCATACACCTTGTGTTCTGTATGAGGACAAAACAGCGGTAAAAAGAACCAGATTGACTCAGAGGACATTTTGCAAAAAGAGCAAATTCGTTGTGTGAATAGAAATGTGTCAAACATCCGAGGTTATTCTTCCATCTGTAGTCTAGAGCTCTGAATTGCTTCCCAGAGATTAGATTGTTCTCAGTGATTTAAGTCGTCTTACAAACTAGTACAAACAGGTCGTCTGATTGCGAAAGTGCTTGAATCTGTTCTGAACGTTCGCTCTGGAGCCTGATTGGTCTGATTAAAAAGCCTGTTGTCATAGCGAGTGACGAGATGTGGGCACTGTGTAATAATGGAGACACAATGGTGCACACTTTTAGCCAATGCTGTACTGATGTCATCAGAAAGTGACGGATTAACATATTGTAGGTTTTGGTATTTTTTACAGAACAGCTATAGAAAGTTAGCAGCCTTATAAATTAAAGAAAGTTTGAATTTTAAATACATATAATGGATCTAAAATATATGATAAACCTTATCAGGCGTAGGTCCCCTCTTGGTTTTAGGAGGCGTCATTATAATGAAGCCGAGCTGAGAGTGTTGCTAGGCGACGGGAAAGGCTTGCATCAGTTGCTGCTCATTTTCCCCTCTCACCTCTGTTTACAGCCCCCCTCCCCTTTTGTCTCACATCCTCAGACAGACACACACACACACTGTTGTCACCCACCCCTCCCTGTCTGTCTGTCTGTGGGAGAGGTGGCGATGAGCGGGCGAGCAGCAGCGATCATGGGGAAGAAGGGAGGGAGGGAGGGGAGAGGGTGAGGAGGAGGGTGCACAGTGATGTAATGCAGGAGCAGGGGACTGGCTCGGCTGACAATCCACAATAAGCAGAGTGGGTGGGGGTGGAGGTTAGGGGAGGCGAGGCGTCTCCTATGAACAGTAGCAGGTCGGGGGCTTGCGGCAGGAAGATGTCAGAGCCCTAATTGGAGCATAAAGGAAAAGGGAGGCACCGTCCGAGGGCTCGGGCAAACGGATTATGAGAAGAACTGTGAAAGAGGACATACAGGAGGACGATATCAGGAGGAAGGGACGGACACAGGCAGGGAGAGCGAGCCTGGGAAAAAAATCACAGCGGCCATTTGCACAACTGCAGCTTCTCAGGCTGAGCGGCTGCCTGTCTGTCTGAATGTTCGGCTGTAGCTGTCTGTCTTTCTGTCTCTGAGGATTGAGCATCTTTGCCTGTTTTATCCCCTGTGTGTGTCTGTGTGTGTGTCTGTGTCTCTCTGTGACTGTTGTGTGTGTGTGTCTTCTTCTCTTGCAAATATGATGAGACAGACTCCTGCACCCCGGAAGGTACAGAACTCCATATGATCGTCTTTATCTGTTGGGATATTGTTGTTGCTGTCACCTTTCATTTGATTTGTTGGCGGAGCTGCTGTAAAGGTCATGCTTGAAGTTTCAGTTAATCCATATTTCGTGCTTGGTCGTTCCTGTCAAGTGATATTTAAGATTCCCAGCGTGGAAGTCGGAGTGTTCCTGCAGCTCTATTTTGATCTTTTTGCTAATTTCTGCTCATTCAGTGCCTTATTTGCTGAATTATTTCATGCCTATACGTGTGTCTGCAGTAGATTTCTTTTTATTTGTCCTCATCATGCAGAAGCTGTTTTCTGCCACCATCAGATATTTTCTCCCCCGGTTGCAGATGTCGCTAACTGATGTGTAGTTCAGTGTCGTCCGTTCTGTAACACAACACTACGGCTTAAGAGGGCTGTCGGATCTTATTTTGGTACAGCTGTTCGCTCAGGCTAATTTCTGCTGAATGGACCGGCTCTAATCCAATGAAGAACGATAACAGGCCAAAGCGATGGGCGTTCCTCAGGCGAAGCAGAGAGAGAGAGAGAGAGAAAGTAATAGGGAGAAGAGAAGAGAGAGAAGTGGGAGACATCAGATCTTTTTACATGAAAGAAATGGAAAAGTTGTTCGCAGAGACCTGGATTATATTATGTTTTTAATAACAAACCTTATTTCTAATTAAATTATTACAGAGATGGCAGAATATTCTTTTTACTTTTCTTCATATAAAAGTGTAAAAATATGTATTTAGGAAACAAAACATCCTCGCCAGGTCCAAGTCACATAACACTATTTTTACCACTTTAAGCTACTTGTAGATTTAATTTTGTGTGAGTGTCACATTTATACAGAGAAATCATAAATGATATTGTGGAACGATTGTTCAGCAAAACGTCTAAACACGTTGACGTGAATACAAGTTGAATTTGGAAAGATTGAATAAACATTTCAGTATTTTCTTGATGTTGTTTGATGCACTCCGTTGTCCTGTACGACAAATCCTCTCCTCCTCAATCGCTTTGATGTGAACTGTGAGTGGTGTTTGATTATGGTAATGTAATCCAGGTCTGCTGTACAGATTCTATAGAGATTAGATGAGAACAAACTGTGGATGTTTCCCTGCACACGTCCTCACGTCCTGCCTGCTGCGTGGTTTGTCTGAAACACGCGACGTAGCTGGAGAACAAGTCATTATCCCTGCGCTGTCTAGTCTGTACAACAGAATTGGACTCCGATGATTCCGGATCCGCCGCGTCCCCAGAGACACAATACCGTCATTTAGGTCACAGCGGCCGTACCAGTCACTGCGTCCATGTTGCTACTGAGGGTTCTGGTCACATGGGTGGACGAGATGAGGCCCTGGAGGGTTAGTGAGACGAGAGAGAAGAGAAAGATCAGCGGGGACGTTGCACGATGGTGGATTCAGTTCATACGTTTTCATCAACCCATTTTATCCTTTTGTCTGTGATTTCCCGTTTAATATGAACTTTGCCTTGAATCACTAACCCTGGCTGTTTATTTCCCTCCCTTCCCTCTTCTCCCTCTCTCCTCCTTTGCTGCCCTTTGACCTTTTCCTACTTCTCCTCCTCCTTCTCCTCCATCTCCTCCCCAGACCACGGTCAGAAGGCCCAAGGTGAGCCTATAGTCGTCAACATCATCAGGGCTTCACATTTTTCTGTGTGTGTGTGTGTGTGTGTGTGTGTGTGTGAGAGAGACAGTACATGAGTGCAGAACCATATTATTTTTAATGACCATCATCATCATGTTTAAGAGCATCAGTCATTTAATACACAGTATATTGCAACCTCACACATTGTCCTCATTAGATTCTATCATTCATCATGTGGTTTTATTTAATTTAACATTTTTCTTTTTGATAAAAAAACTTAAATTTGCTTTTGTAACTTCTGTGCAACTTGGTCACTTTGTTTTAATTTGTACCAGAATGGTTTCACTGTGTTTTTTTTTTGTTTTGTTAATATATTATATAGATATTAGTTTTACTTTGGAGAATCTTTCTGTTGCAGTTTTTGGGGTCATCATAGAGGTCCATCAATAAATGTGCATTTAAAAGTAAATCATCTAAAACAACATGGCAGCAAAAGAACATCGCTGTAAATATCAGTTTGGTAATTTCTTAAATAGAAATTATTATTCTTGAAAATGTATTTGTTGAAAAGATGAAACGGGTTAGGGTAACCGTGAAGAAGAGGACCTCCATCATGGCCTCCAATACATCATTCAGCCATTTGTACTCAGTCAGATCTTTTTATCCAGACCATGGGGCCCTGATCTTTGATGAAGAGTAGGTTTTTCTCATTACTGTCTGTCTGCTTGGGTTTTTCAGCAGCCCAGTCGCCCTGCAGGTGGGAAGGGGGCCGCGTCCGGCTCAGCTTCGGCCTCGGCCGGAGAGATGAGCAGCAGCGAGCCCAGCACGCCAGCCCAGACCCCCCTGGCTGCTCCGATCATCCCCACCCTCCACTCCCCTGGAAGACCTCAGGCTCCCGTGCCCAGCAAGGTCAGTATCGGTAAACTGGGGAAAATAATGGAAATCTACAATTTCAACACGTGATTATATCGTTGAGTTCTTTGGTTTTTATAAGGCGGCTCTTAACGTGCCATCATGTGTGACTCGGTGTATCAGCCACACCAGCTGTGATGCAGGAGTAGAATCAGATGTGACATATTTTTGCTATAGCTTCTTTAAATATAGATTTCTTTCCGACACAGTTGTCAGTTTGTGTTCATGTCATCATAAAGATCTGCCAAATCAGAAATAAAGCTGGAGGCCTTAACTTTATAACGCCTCTCAAAATAGCTCGATTTTATTTTGCTAATTATA